GCTGTGATCACGCAAGGTCGCTTTCCAGCTAAGCTTGAAGAGTGAAATTACTGCAGGGAGACTCCCTTAGGAGGCTCTTCTAGAGGCACGGGAAACGCCAGTTGTCTCACTCGTCTGGAGGACAGCATCTGTACGTGTTAGAGCTGGGAAACCATTTAGGTAGAAGGGGGTGGGGTCGGGAGATATGGACAAGTGTCCCCCCCCCAGGTCCCTGGATACCGTGCCCAGTTAGTGTTTGGATTTTTATGCAGATAACTACCATAAAAAGGATCTGGGTATGAAAAGAGGGTATGAGGTGACTAGGGAGGGGGCCCCTCAAATTAACGCCAGCGCCGCCTTTGCCCTTTGATACGAGGACAAGGAATTTTCTCAAAGTAGCGTGGAGAGTTCTGCTCACTGAGCTTCCTGGGCCGGTATCTTAATCCCATCTTGCAAACAGATGTCCCACAAGTCAAAACACGGAAGGGTTCCAGACTGCTTCCCACTGCTGCGATGCGCGGAAGCCTATATTCTTGTTTGGACCACTGATCCTGCATGACCAGGCATCTCTGGGGTGACCAGTACCCCTGGAAGCTTGCCGACAGACCGTTGATGAGATGCACAGCACCTTTTCTTTTTATTTCTTTGAAAGCAGATGCGAAATGCAAAGGAGTGAGCAGAGTGGCTGGTCACTCCATTTTGGAGGACGCCCCTAAGCCTGTCTCTGTGACTACCAGGTACCAGAAATGTAGGGAACTCTGCCAGGTTGCCTGGCTGAGCCGTGTGTGTGTGTGTGTGTGTGTGTGTGTGTGTGTGCAGGTGGCCCGGGGCTCCTGTCCGCAGGTTGCCCCTCTCAAGCTCATCTCTCACTGTCCTGCAACCCTGAGACCAAGCAGGTACCACCCACTAAGGTCCCCTGGCTACCCATACCTCCCTGTGTGGTCCTGGGATTCAAGCAACAGCAGGAGGTTTGTGTGTGTGTGTGTGTGTGTGTGTGTCTCTCTCTCTCTCCCAGGAACACAAGGCCTCACACATGCCAGACAAACAGTCTTCAACTGAGCTACGTCCCTAGTCTCTCGCTGATCATCTTAAAGGCTGGTGAAGAGCCTGGCCTGTGGTGAGGGCTATAGCATGGTCAGGGTGCTCCAATGGCTTTACCATCTGCTCACTGCAGCAGGACATCTGGGGTCAGTGGGGGCAAAATCTAGCCAGTGTCTAGTAAGCTGTGTGCCTTGATGACAAGGGGCTGTGTCCGAGGGTGAGAGGTTGCCTTCAGGGCATGCTGGCAAGGAAGGGGGAATGGAAAGCTGGGGTGCAAAAGGAATGTTCGTTTTGTGGGTCAATGTGCAATGTGGTCAGTGGGGGGGGGTGACCTGGAGTGTTGCATTGAAGAGGACCTGAAGTCAGGTCTGTCTGCCCCGGAGAGAGCTATCCTGGTGGGGGATGGGACAGGAACAGGAGTAAGGAAAGCATTTGTCATTTGCCCTCTCTGCTGTAAACTGACACCTTCTGTGTCAACACACAGTCTAAAAGCACCCAAGTGCCCTGGCCCTGGGGGAGAAGAATCTCAGGCCTGTCCAGTGGGGGCGCTTCATTGTAATCCTGATGCTATTTGGGAACACCAAGAGATCGGCAGACTCCCGGATTCCTCTGTGTGATAAATCACCACGCTCTGTTTTGCAGAGAGATAAGCAGCATGGTTTGTACAGAATAGTGAAGTCCCATCTTCCTGGAACATTTCCTTTGCCTTAACTGGCCCCAAGTTAAGACCGAGTCCCTCCCCAGGGCCCAACTCTGTCTCTGTCCTCTGTTTCTCCTATTCCTTTGACCTCAGAGTTCTTGTCTAAAACCCTACTAGGACTTCTTAGACCCATTTCCTGGGTGACTTCAGGACAGAGATGTCCCTGCTACCTCTTCTGTCATCTTCCTAGACAGCATGGAGTATTATTGTTATCGAGATGGCCAGCGCCACCATTCTCTGCCACATGGTTGCTAACAGCTAGCAAAGCATGTTCTGGTCACACCCTCTTTTAGCTTCAGTAGTCCCTGGAGAAATGGGTAGGGATGGGCTAACCACCCTCACGGTCTAAAGAGAAGGTAGGAACCTGCCCAAGGTTCCCTAGATCCCCATTTCTTTCCTTTGTCCGATCTTGTGGACCATAGACTGGACAGAACCCCCCAGGTGACTGGAACCTCATGCGAGCACTTGCCTACCTCCAGTTCCAAGGTTACCAGCGGGGACAAGGTTGCCAGCCTGGGACCAGTGAGGACCAGGTGACTTCTTCGTAGTCAGGATTACTGTGTGACCCCCTGGCAAATGCCTTTCCTTGCCTGGGCCATGATGCTGCCTCTTGTTAAAGTGTGTGTCTGGGCGGGGAGGCACGGGGATGGGTCTGGCCCAGCCTGTTTGCCCTCTTGTGCCTGCCTGTGGCTTCTCCATCCCACAGCCCACTTTATCTGAGGAAATCTGTAGTATATGTCTCCAACAGTCATGGGTGGGGGCTGACCTCAGGCCAGCTGACTGCTAGCCAAACAAACTGCCCACAGTCTGTTCACATGCATGGATCACTTAGTGGGTACGGAGCCCACATGTTGAGCAAGTATGCTAAGGACAGAGAGAAGGAGGGAGAGACGTGCAAACCCCACAGAGGCCACCCAGGCCTCCAAGAAGCCGGCTCTTGCTATCCTTTCGTTTGTTTGTCTCCCAACCCAACAAATATTTCCCTACGGATCCCTCGTCGTGGACCAGGCTCTGGGTAGGAACTGCAAAGAGAGGGAGGGGAGAAAGAGGCAGAGGTTACCAGTTAAACAAGCACCCTCCTGGCGTCAAATCACTCTGGAGGCCGGGAAGACGCCCCGGTGTCTCTTTAAGCGAGTGTCAGACAAGTCTCAAGGTGACAATGGGACAGAAGTGTCCCATTTGGCCAGCACCACCTTTCTTGTGGTTTACCTGTCTGACCTCTAAAGGAGTCAGAAAGCTAGGGAGATGAATAGAGCTAAGTTGCTGGATGTCTCGGGCTCTCCTCTGGGCTCTCCAACTCCCCCGTGTGCAGCTGGATGGATATCACCCACCTTTCTTTTAAGAAAAAAGAATGTATTATTTTACTTTGAATACGTGCACGTGGGGGTGGGGTGTGTGGGCATGCTGAGTGCAGGTGCTCGGATCAGAAGAGGGTTATCAGAGTCCTTCGAGCTGGAGTTACCCGTGGTTGTGAGCCACCAGCCAGGGGGCATTGGGAGTCAAGCTCCGGTCCTCGGCAAGGCAGTACTCGCTCTTAATTGCTAAACCCTCACCTCTCTAGCCCTTACTTCCTATCTTTTATAAAGTCTGTGTAGGGTGGTTTCAAATCCTAATTCGTATTTTGTAGGAGCTCAGAGTCTCTCACATAATTGTAGAAACGCTGAGTTGTTTTGTTTTGTTCTGGTCTCATGTAGCCCATGCTGGCCTCAAACTCAACCAGGTAGCAAGGACGACCTTGAACTTCTGATCCCCCTGCCTCCACCTCCCTGAAGCTGGGATTACAGAATGCACCACTACGTCCATTTTACAGATACGCCTTTGATGAATAAAAACATTGAGGTTTTATTGGCATGCATATCGTCACTTCAATTAATAATAGCTGTCAATTGTTTGATAAGTGAATTATTTCAAGACATGGAGACTTGAGATCAAAGGGGATCTTGGTTGGCGACACCGGACAGCTCCTGGTCATCACTGTCTGGTCCAAGCATCTACACATGCACTGAGGTGCCCTGGCATGGTGGTTGGTGGGGGGGGGGAGAAGTGGCTTTCCCAAAACAGCTTCTATTTACCAAATCCGAGCTCCCACCCAACAGATACCAAGTTCCAACATGATCATTCCCACTTTACAGAGAACACAGGCTGGTTGGCAGAGGTGAGGTGTCTACCCTGAAGTCCCCTTTCTGTCACTTTAAACACCAGGCTGAACCGGCTCCAGGGCCAAACTGGAGATGGAGGTGCCTTGAGTCCCCACACGGGCCAGGCCGTCAGTTCCTTTGATGTGGGGCAGCACACAGCATTCTGGGACCCTGAGGTTAAGGTATCTGGGAGAAGCCAGGGGCTAGTGCAAGCTTCTCCTGGCAGATAGGGGTTTCTGAGATCTTCTAGGCCAGGTTAGGATCCTGGAACCCCTTACAAGAGACCGGGGAGGGCTGAGGATGGAGCCAGGGAGCAGAAGAGAGGAGAAAAGCCTAGGCCAGCCTGGAGCAGAAACAGAAGTACAAGGGGTGAGGGGAGAAGGGGAGCCCTTCCTCAGGCAGGAACCCGGGGGCCCCCCTCAGCGCAGGCCGGCAGCAAAGCGGTTCTGCAGATGGAAGGAATTAAGGGGGAGGGGGAGGGTCCTATAGTGATAGCGAAAGGAGTGTCTGTGTGTGTGTGTCGAGAGAGAGAGAAGGAAGCTACAAGCCAGACACTTTTAAAGAGGCGTTGGAGAACACCAAGACAGTCACAGAAATACAATCAGACTAACAGTCAGAACAGGGAAGAGTGGAAGAAAAAAAAAGGTGTGAAAACGAATTAACTGGAGAGTGCCTGGGAAGTGATGGGAGCCAGCTTACGGTGGAGCAGGCTGAGAGTTTGGGCCCAGTCGGTTCTGAGCTCGGGCTGAGAAGCTGCGCTAGCCGGGGGGGGAGTGGGGGCGGGAGGAGGTTCGGGAGGGGCCACTCCTAGTAGGGGGTGGCCGGCGGGATGCTGCATGTGCGGACACGCCTTCTTTCTTGCCCCTCCCCTACATCCATAGTCAGCCAATGGGGGAGCGAGGACGGGGGCCGGCCGGGTCGGGGTGGGGCGGGGTCTTGGAGGACCCCACCCTAGAAGCGGTCTCTGGAGGGGTCAGAGCCGAGGCAGATAGCGGATCCCCGGGCGGGGCGGGGCGGGCAACGGGGCTGGGCGGGGCCAAAAGTTTCCTCCCCAACTTTCTCTGCCTCCTTCCTCCGCCCGCGCGCGCCCACTGCTGCAGTTCTGGGAGGCGGCGGCGGCGGCGGCGGCGGAGGCGGCTGCGGCGGCTGCGGGCAAACGCGCGGGGCACGGGGCGCTGGGCGATAGCCGTCGGGGCCGGGGCGGCTGGCAGTGGGCACAGGCTCCCCGGTGCCCGCCCCTCCGCCGGGAGGGGGGCGCGAGCGGGCGGCCGGGGAGGGGCCGGCACCGCCACGGCAAAAATGAGCCTGCTGTCTGCCATCGACACGAGCGCCGCCTCGGTGTACCAGCCGGCCCAGCTGCTCAACTGGGTCTACCTGTCGCTCCAGGACACACACCAAGCTAGTGCTTTCGATGCCTTCCGGCCCGAGCCGCCCGCCGGCGCCGCGCCCCCGGAGCTGGCCTTCGGCAAGGGCCGCCCGGAGCAGCTGGGCTCTCCCCTGCACTCCAGCTATCTTAACAGCGTCTTCCAGCTGCAGCGCGGAGAGGTGGGTGCCCCGGCGCCAGCCCCGCGCCCACTGCTCCAGACCCCTTTCCTATCTGTTCCGCTCTTCCTGGCCTGGCCCGGGCTGGCCCCACATTGCCCTGCTCCGCTTGGCTTGACTTCGATCAGCTTTGCCAAACTTGCCGCCCCAAGTCCCTGGGGCGCCCGGAGCGCGTCACCTCCCGGCAGAACCGCTCGGAGCGGCTCAGGCCTGGGCAGGGCCCTCCCGCCCCCTCTCCCAGACCTTAGCTCTGCTCCTAGTAAGCAGACTTAGGGGTGTCTCCGGATTCTCTTCAGACTGCCTGGGTGCGGCTAGGGCGGGGAGCCCCTTCCTAAGTCTTTACTTCGCCCAACGCTATCAACTTTTCTAGCTGCCGGCAGCTGGAACCGGAGGGTTGCAGAGCCGGGGTCTGAACTCCTCTGGAAGGGCCTAAAAGCATTCTCCCTCCCCCCTACCTCCGTGGTTCTTGGCCTGGAGGGCTCCCTGGAAAGCAGTGACTCTTTCCGGGCCTTTTCCCACCACTTGGGGACCCCTAAATCCACCCTGCAGCAGCTGCTTGCCCTCCCCCAGCCACATAGGAAGTGGTTTTTTGAGGGCTTGACCTAGCAGACTGCTCTGTCCCCTGCTTCCCAGGCTGGAAGGAAATGAAAGGGAAATCCTTGGGGGGGGGGGAGAAGGCTGTGGCGATGGGAGAGAGGGCTCCAGCTGCCCAGTGCCTTCTCCCAAAACCCTGGGTGTGTTGCAAAGGCTGCCTGTTCAATGGATTCGGTTACAAAGTCTACTGTCCAGTGCTTGCCCCCAGCTAGATAAATATACACAGGTGATGATGACCTTACAGCCCGTTTTGTGGGGGTCTTATCCAGAGTCTTCCCAGAATCTCTCTACCACGACCCTCCCCACCCCCCCTGTTTATTCCAGTTTGGGAATTGCTGATATCTTCTTATGCCCAACTTGTCCCCTTGTGGTTTTCCTATGTTAAGGAGAGGGACATACACATAGGGAGAGGTCACTTTCCCTCTTCTTCTGGCCTAGAGGTGGCCTGGGAATAAGACCTGTGTATTCCGAGGTGTGTTTGGGGGTGAGTTGTAGAACCAGAGAGTCACACTTTCTGATCCCAGGTAATGTGTTCAGCACTGCTGCGGTTTTACTGGAGGACTCACGGAGGACATGTAAAACCCAGGCTGCTGCCCCGCTGCCCTGTGGGGTTAGAAGTGGTGTGTGTGTGGGGGGCTGGGTGTGGGGGCAAGGCTGGAAAGGTGTCAGCAGAGCCAGGGGGGATAGCGTCCGTCCGTATGCCGAGGCTCTTTATAAATCCTAACACATGTTCTCTGCCCTGAGGAATGGTTCCTGGCTGGGATCTCCCTTCCTCGTGACACTTTGTCGAGAGGAGCCGGCTTCAGGTGACCAGTGGCTTTTGGAGAATCGTTTGTGTGGAGTGTTTCTTTAGTACCTGGGTCTTTCCCATTATTAGTTCTCTTACCAAGCGTTTCTGTGTAAGGGTGGGAATGTGAGGAGCCTGGGGCTAAGGAGGGACATGGACAGCACTTGTGGGAAAGGCAGGTGACTGGATAGGGTTCTGTCATGGCTCATAGTTGGATGGAAATGCACTCAGGGGAGGGTCTTTCGTCTAGGGCGAAGATGACCTGACCCAGGGGTCCAGTAGGGACCCAACGAGCTTTTAATAGACTCCCTGCCTTGCTCCTTACACGTAGCCTCTTGCCTGTTGCCCATTGGTCAGTGATCCTCCTGGAAAATTTTAGTCTCCAGTATCCAAGCTGTGGTTCAGCGAGACCTGCCTCCTGCCACCTTGTCGCTGAGTTCCTCAGTTTCCCTCAAGAAGGGGCCTGGTGTGGGAGGAGCTGAAGCCATGGTGGGGGAAGTCTCTTGTAACCTGACTCCAGAGAGATTCCCTTCTCTCCCTGCCTTGGAGTTCCCATTGAGTACGTTTAATCTCTGCTGTCACCCAGGGTGGTATGTTCCAGGTTGAACAAGAGAATGCCTGCCAGCATACAGCCCGTACTGAGGAGCTCACAGGGACTTTTCACACTTGAAGACCTATGGTTTCCTTGGGGGCTGGATAGCTGTGGTGCTCCTGGCTCCTGGCTCCCTCGTCCTCACCTCCTGGTCCTTGACCTCTTAAACCCTTTCAAAGCTTGCAGCTATGGTCTTGGGCATGGCCTTTCCTGAGCCCTGGGCTTAGTTGGTGACTTGACATACAGCTGAGAAGGTGAGGACTCCCCCCCCACGTCAACGCCACCACCAAGGGGCTGGGTGCAAAAGCATCAAGTTCTGTGTCACAAGACGGGACTTTAGGAAGGGAGGGACCCAGGGTCCACAAGCATTGCCATTCTGTTGGAGGCCTGGCAGGCCCGGTGGCAGTGCCTGCGGATGTGACTTGCATGCTGACCGCTGACCATAGCCCGTCTGCGCCAGCCCCTGTGCCAAGAGCCCACCCCCTCCCGCACCGCCCCCAGGCTGCTCCCTCCACAATAGAAAAACACCATGAATGCAGCTGGCATTGGGGGAGGTGAGGATACGGGGGCACAGAAGCCTATTGTGCCCCTGGAACCTCGGCCCTGGGAGCTGAAGATAAGCTGAGGGTCCTGAGTGACCCTCTGGCTCTGGGAGCAGAGAGGAAGGGGAACGGGTTTGCATACAAGAGCGGGACAAGTTCCAGGAGGTGACTTGCAAGTAGCGTCTTAAAAAAAAAAAACACACTTCTGGGTTCTGAAGTGAGACCCACTGGCAAACGTGATTTTTCAGAAATGGCATCTGTGGTCACAGCTGTGTGTCTTCGGAGAGACTCCTTGACTGAGTCCCCTCTGTCCAGGTGCTGCAGGAGGAGGCGGGGCCCAGGAGGGGGTTGGACTGTGTGGATCTTCCTTGCCAAATTCTGCTTGGAATTTAAATTCCCAGCGGTGTAACCACCACGAATTCCATTTCTGGAAAAGTAGAGTTGAGCATTACCTCTCGGACCCTTGGTGGGGTTTTCTCAGAGCCGGCGCTGGGCAGTCTAGTCTTTGTACCCCCAACTCCCTCCACACCAGGGAAATGAGACTGCCTCATGCCATTTAATTCAGATTCCTAGAACAGCTTTCCTCCTTTTCTCTGAGAATAGAAGGAGCCAGAAAGTGCAGCTCCGCTGTCGAATGACCACCCCTCCTTTGTGAGCATGGGGGGAGGTGGGTGAGGGCTCAGATAGGCTTGGAAAGCGTAGCGTACCTACCGTCCTTCAGTTCATACAGTGCCCGCCAACACAGCGAAGGCTCAGAGAAGTTCCGCAGTCCTAGATGTGTTAAGAGTTCCTCGCCTCAGCGTTTCTTGCAGTTAATTCAGCCAGAGAGTGGTTTGGGCTCAGGACACCTGCCCGTCGTTCTTCCGGCCATCTCCAAGCCCAGTGATGTCCCACTGAGCCAGACACGCGGTTCTACTGGGTCAGCCGTCCAGTCTCCTGGACTGCATATAGCTCTAAGCTGTAGGAAGCTCTTCTTGGTGACCTTCAGTGGGGAGACCCCAAAGTCCTCACATCACTGTCCACGGGTGCTGCAGAGCCCACCCTTTGGCCGATGTGGCCCGCCCATTGCAGATTTGTGAGTGGTACCGAGGGTCTTCAGCCCTACTGCACAGAGATGGCAATGAGAACAAGCAGGGGGACAAATATAGGGTTCTTGTGCAAGGTTCCAGCTGGAGGAGGGCTCATATCTCTATTCCTAGCATAGGAGGACTCCCATGAGTTCAAGGCCAGCCTGGGCTAGAGTAAAAACCCTGTCTCAAAAAAACAAAACAAAACAAAACAAAACAAAAATAAAAACCAAAAAACAAAGTAGGACTGCTGAAAGGGATCCGTGAGTAAAGGCTCCTGCCACCAAGCCTGACAACCTGAGTTTAGTCCCTGGGTCCCCCGTCCCGTGGTCGAATGAGGGAACCAACTCCTGCAGAGGCTGTCCTCTCATCTCTGTGTGCCCACAGACGCACAGATAAAATACTAGGCGTAGGCGTTAAAAACAAACAAACAAAAGTCCCCAGCCTAGACAGCTGCTGGGAGTTTGGTTGAAATACCACATGTGCCTACAGCAGGTGCCCAGAGCCTCCCAGTGTGAACCTGTGGAGCAAAATCGCTCTCCTCCCTGGCAGGGGCTGAACTTGACTCCCACAATCTTTGTGGTCTGGCGGAGATGGGAAGCAGGCAGCCCCGATACTGGGAAGAATGTCCTAGAGGCATACTAGGGAAGAGTCCCCAAATGTCTGACCCCTCCCGTTGGGATGCTGAATGGTAACTCAGGCAAGAAGGATGCCATTTGGGAGGGGTTGGCACAGGCAGCCTGGCTGTCTTCAGTCAAGATAAGCTGAATACATAGGTCTGGGCTCAGAGGGAGACCATGTAAGAGGGAGGGGTAAGCCAAGTGGTGGGAGGGCAGGGACTTCAGTCATAAGTAATTAGTGGCAACACAACCCAAGGTGGCATATGTAATCTGAGAATAGTGACAGCAGCAAGCAGCCCTGTTTTTTTTTTTTTTTGCTTTTTTTTTTTTTTTTTGAGACAGGGATTCACCCTAGCCCAGACTGGCCTTGAACCGAGGGCAACTCTCCTGCTTTAGTCTCCCAAGTGCTTGGAATACAAGCTTTGAGCCACCAACTCATCACTTCTGTTGTATAGAGAGCAAAGCAGAGGCCTGTATGACTCCGAGTCATCAGTAGCGCTAGATCGAAACCAATTCTGCATTGCATCCTGGAGCTATCTCTGCAGCCTGGGTTAGCTCCTACCTGCATCCCCCTCCAGGCTCTGTGCATGCCCAGCACCTCACCTGAGGTTTCCTATCGAGCCACAGTGCCTCTGATGTTTTGTTTCACATAGACCAGGCTGGCCTCAAACTCTTTGCCTCCACCGCCACAAGGACTGGGATCACAGGGGTCTGCCATCATGTCCAGTTCAGGCAGGGCTGGTGGCCAAATCCAGGGCTTCATGCATGCTAGGAAAGCACTCTCCTCAACCCAGGATCCCA